TTTTTTTTTCAAGCTTTATACCCAGAATCAGCAATTTCGTAACAGGAAGTGAAATAGAGGGATATGAGGCATGGCTAGAATGGGTGATCTGTTTGGTATTTTGAGCAAAACACTTCATAGGCATGTTTTTTATATATCTGAGACCTATGCTATTGCCTAAAAATAGCATGATAGTTCCACTTTAAACGATAATACAAAAAGAAAAAGAAAGATAGGAAGTTCCTTGCCCACGCCACCCCAGACTGGAGGAAGTGTAAGCCATTTTAAATTATAACAGTGGGACTCATGGCTGGCTGGCAGGTTTAATTACTATTCTGTTTAAAGTATTTAGTTGTGGGATGTTGTGTACAGATCCATATGCTTTTTTTATAACCAACCTATTTATTGTTTTCTAGTAGTCCTAATCATAGGTGTGCATATATGTACAATCTTAATTTTCATGAATGATACCACCAGATCAGCAGCTCTTTTAATCGCCTCTAATGTTTCCCTATCCTCCGTTCTTCAGGTATCTTCACAGGAACGTGGATTTGGAACGAATAGACGAATTCGCTTTTTATGGCGTGATTCACGGCCCAACGCATCTGTGAGTGAATGTAGAGAATGTGCTAAGAAAAGAACCTTTTGTTCCCATCAAACACTATCTTTATGTGTCACATACTGATAAATATACAGGAACAAGCGTACCCTAAAGAATAATCTGAACTCTTTATCTTCTAGAGACCTTTCAGAAACCAAAGTTAGCTCTCTGCCTTCAATAGGTATGGAGACCATTGAAAAGCTCCAGATTAAAAACACTTGGGCCCTCAAAGTTCCTCCCCCCTTTAGAGCCTTCCTCCACTTACAGAGCGCTGAATTGACCTTCCCCAGCCATTGTTGTGGTCTCAAAATGTTGAAGAGATGGAGAGGGTAAGTAGGAGAATTTAAAGTGTTGGGAAATATGTTCCCACTGTGACGTGTTTTCAAGTTATTGTCCTTCACATACCAAACTCTCCTCAGGCTCTCTTTATCTGTTTGTTTTGGAGTACTCACAAATACTGAGGATTCAATGAATTGAGTTCAAGTATTTTCCTGTCAGCATTGTAATGATTTTACATTTAAACATGGTTCTGTGAAAAGAAAACCTTTGCACTGTGAGTCACTTGACAATTGCAAGGTCCTCTTTCACCCTGAGCATTAGCATATCCCAGAAAAACCTCCAGGCCACCACACCACACTTATAACACAAATAATGTTTAGATATTTATTTGTGAATGCTGATCTGTGAATTTGGGGATTATTGTCATTTTAGGTCGTTATTTTTCCTACTTTTCTGGCCATATTGGCTCGTTTATTAATCTTTTTATAGATGTGTTGTGCTTTTAAACAATAATTTAAAATTATGTAATCATGATTAGGTTTATCCTTTGACGTTGTTACATGTATAGGTAATTATTCTGACAGATTAGGTATTGTGAATGCCCGATATGTGCAAACAAAGTTAAGGACAAAGGGCATTTTTGCTTTTCTTTCCCCCTGTCAACACTTTCTGGTGTATAAGAACTATGTAGGCTAAAATAATGTACCTCTTGCATGCATTTTAAGAAATGTGGTTGTTCATTCTCTGATTAATAATCCCTATCTCTGTTTTCAAGACACTCTGAAGCCGTTTTTTGCAACCTGACTCGGACTGCATTGAAAAAGCTGCAGGACTCCTCTCAGAAATATCCAGTTAACGAAGTGTACCAGCATCTCAAAGAAAGCTCTGCTCCTCCAGCTCATGGGAGCAGATATCACAACCACTTGTACGACAGCCCCACGTGCGCGACTGAACAGGCTCAGAATGAGGGTTTGTTTTACGTGGAGTTGCCTACCGAGCATCTCAGTGAAGGGTTTGACTTTGCTCTGTGTGATGAACTTCGTACGGATACTCACAGACTCCTTTGTACCCCCCTGCCTGATGCTTTGAACCCCTGTGAGGATGTGATGAGTCAAGGCTTCCTGCGGGTGTTAGTCTGGGTGGTCAGTCTGTTAGCTATCTCCGCTAACTTCCTGGTGATGTTCATCCTGCTGACCAGCCGGCAGAAGTTGTCCGTCACCCGCTTCCTCATGGGTCACCTAGCGTTCGCAGACTTTTGCATGGGGACATACTTACTGTTCATAGCATCTGTGGACCTCTACACACGCTCCCATTACTACCACTATGCTATCGCCTGGCAAACAGGAAGTGGCTGCAATCTAGCAGGAACGTTATCAGTGTTTGCCAGCGAGCTATCAGTGTACACATTAACGCTAATCAGCTTGCAACGTTGGCATGCAATCTTCTACGCAATGAGGCCAGACAGGAAGATGAGGCTACGCCATGCAGCTGTGCTAATGCTAATCGGCTGGTTGCTGTGTTTGATCCTAGCTCTGCTGCCAGTACTGGGAGTGAGCAGTTTCCAGAAAGTGAGCATCTGCTTGCCCATGGACACTGAAACCACCGCTGCTCGGACCTACGTGGTGTCGTTGCTCATGGTTAATGTTGTTGCTTTCATGGTGGTGTGTCTATGTTACCTCCACATCTACTGCATGGTGCACAATCCCCAGCACCAGTCCAGCAGATGCGATACGACCATGGCTAAACGCATGGCGGTTCTGATTTTCACCAACTTCCTGTGTCTGGCTCCCATCTGTTTCTATGGCTTGTTTGCAGCGCTCCACCAACCATTGATGACCATCACAGACTCCAAGGTGGGACTTCCTCTTGAGATTCTTATTTTATTTTTAAAGGTCACCCATTATGCAAAATCCACTTTTTCACATCTTGTATACATAAACATGTGTCCCCTCTAGGGATGGGTATCGTTAAGGTTTTAACGATACTACTACTTTTATCCATACCGCTTATCGATCCGGTCCTTTAACGGTACTCTTATCGGTTCTTTAAAAAAAAAAAAAAGGTAAATTGTAAATAATGTGAATTTACAGAACTGCAAAAAACAAACAAAAAACAAGTATTTACTCTTACTGCATAAATACAGTGGTACAGAGCAGCACAGGTGGGGCATACAGGTATGCTGCAAAAGGCCTAACGGTTCGTCTGGAGGAAGATTAAGGTATATAACATACCTGACGTGGAAACGTTACTCGTGGACAGGGCTACAGAGCTACTAGAAAGACAGTCGAAAACAATGCATTTCTCCGTCTGGATGTGGTGCACTTTTGATAAATGTTTAGACAAATTGCTCGTGTTACCGCCCTTACATGCTAAACTCTTATTGCACTTTTGCCAACGAGCATTGTCCACATCGAGACGGGTAAAGTTTAACCACACCTTGGAGCGCTTAGTTCTCTCTGCTATCTCCGCCGCGTGTGTGTTGCCATGCATGTAGCAGCCGCGTGTGTGTAAACTGCCCCCCCCCTTGTTGGCGAAACTAAAGCTGCAATATATAATGTTTATGTAGCGATAATACATATGACATATTTTTTAAATGTCTCCAGTACCGATAAAAAGACCGATAACGTTGGAGCTTAACGGTACCACGGTCTTTAATAATTCAGCCCCGGGTCCCCTTTAATACCGGGGCTCGTTACCGATCCCTACTCCCCTCTGTGGAAAGAGACTCTGAAAGTTTCAGGAACAAAGATTCTCTCTCTTTTTCTCCTGATCCATTTCTATAAAAAGCTGTC